TAAGATCGTTTTCCGCAACATCCTGAAGATTTTTTAACCTGTAATAAGAAAAAAAATACATAAAAGAATTTTCGATAAAAAGCGGAAAGTGTCAAGTAGAACCAGACATAAAATAAATAGAAATAATAATATTGTGTTCCGATTTGAGGGCTAAAAAGTTCTGCTCTTCTAGTATATTGAACTCAGTTCTAGATCGTATACAGATGTTGGAAAAATGATTGTCTAAAATGAGATGGTTCCCGAGGAAATGTAAAGGAAATTGCGACATAATATGCGGCGAGAAGTTAAAAACGAACTGAATAATGAACCCATATATTTTACTGCGTATTACTATAAAAAATAAACTAACGTATTAAGTAAGTAAATCAATATAACCAAACCAACTTTTCATAAAAACCCTTAAAAATATGGATTAGAAAAATAAAGTACTAAGGTAACATAAATTTAGAGTATCACTTAGGGAGTGGGCACAGGATTACACGCGGTTTTACTGACGCACATTGAAAACAATGTGATCCACGTAACAGGAATGTTATGTATGTAAAACGTTTGAAGGATTTAAAATAGTGATGGGAAACACTTTTTATCAACAAATTTAAAATCAAATATTTATATACCATCTAATAGCAACAAGCATGTAAAATTTTAAAAAAAGATCATTGACAATGTTAACTTTCGCTGTCTAAGGGCCTGTCCCACCACTGGCTGATAGAGGCTCAGATAGCTTAAAAATGACGTCACTGTCAGATAAGGGAACAAAATCCGATATTTCCATCATATATTTTACACGTTCGATTGTTATCAGACAATTTATAATCTGGTGAGACAGGCCTTAAGTGTCGCAATGAAAACTCGCAATCTCTGACTACCTCTAGCATTAATGTACAGTACACATTGTATTTAATGATGACAACTAAAGAAACGCAGAAAATCTTTCCTGTAATAAGGGTCTATGCATCAGGTTTTCGTTCTTCATATAAATCTATCATAATAACTTTAAAACACTTTATTGTATATGCAAATTAGTTCCCAAGGCACAGACCCGCCCTAGTGAGCAGTGCAAAGCCCCTGCAAAGTTCGTCAGCCGGCCATTAGTGAAATCCTGGCTGGGAGCGATGCCTAATTTAAGCCCGTTTCAGACTGATGTTTCGGCGACCTCACGTTTTCATTCATGCCTCTTTTTATAAAGTCATTAAAATAGGCCAATGGTCAAAAGGTAAGTTACTTTCTTTAGCAAAACAGAAAATATTATTGCACGTAACTACTCAGACTCCGACCTTATTTTTACAAAATCTACTTTAAAAGTAGACTTAATATTGACTTAAAAATTTTTAACCCAAAACAATTATATTTCTATTTCTTATATATTTACATATTTACTTGTAACTCTCGTGTTTCATTTTAATTTATTTCATTAGTTAGAAACTAACGCATCGAGGTTAACAAATTTTCGTCTGTGAAGAAATTTCAATAACAGTGTTTAAATGTCACAAGTTCAAACTAAAAGGTCGATGTCCGTGTAGCCTGACTTTATTTCACTTTAACTTGAAAGTTTCAGACACGCGATACATAGGAAGTTAAACAAAGGTCACTAAACCATTTGTAAGATTTGTGCAAATCTACGAGATATTACTGATCTTTGGGATGATTTATCTCAAAGTAAGACATTTTTTCTGGCTTATGCCCTTAATTTTTAAAAAGTTTTTTTCTACACGTAGTATAGAAATGATACGCTTTGGCTTAATTTGGCTTTTTTGGAAAAACAAATATTATATATTACCAACACACTAAAAATAAGATCTCACGTATATAAGGTGCTTTTGGTGCCTACACCAAAGGTTGCCACGAGAGTTTTGCCGTGTTATAAATTACCCGTGCGACTTCATCCGCATAAAATTATGAAAATTTTATGTCATTGTATACATTTGTCAAATTATCAATAGCAAACGTCAAAATGACATGACATGACAAACCTCGACAATCTTGCTCCCTTGATGTTGGCAGCAACTTTGGTCTCTTTCTCACATTAGGATCTTTATCCTAAATATTTACCCCCTAAGATTAATGGCGTGAAAATATATAGCCTAAAGCATGATGAAGTGTAGGGCTTTATATTAAAAAAAAAATATTCAAAAATATGCTGCAATTGCAACAAAGTGTGTGTTTACGCTTTAATATAATAGTATAGGTCATATTACATTACATTGTATAATGTCGCACGAAAGTTTTATTAAGTTAATCTCACTTATTTTTATTTTAGCTAGTTCAGAAGATTTTTTAAAATTATTTACGCTATAAAATTAAGGGATATTATTTAGTTAACTTTGAAATATGACTTGAACCTATCGACGTAAAGCCGATAGTATTTTAGTAAATAAAGCAAACTGCGGTCTGTATATGGCGAGCGTTACTTCATCATCTAGCATCTACCACTTGAAGCAGTTTGTTGAAATATGAAAACCATTAGAAAAAATACCCATTTTCACAAGTTTAGATTGATTAAGCAATCTTACGTCAAAACAAAAAAATCCTACGTAATCTTAGAACAACCTTTTTATAATTAGATTTTTGTTCTCCAATTTTGTGTTCCACAAATAACATTTCTTGAACTACTCTATGGCTTTGCTGTTGCCGAATGTTTTGGAATACGTCATCAACCGTAACGACTCTATTATTTCGAACGTCGCAAAGTTTAAAATTGCCGAAGCCATATTTTAATTGACTAGTGACGTAGTTCTTAAAACAATACTATTTATAAGCAGGGGTTGACGTAATACATTTTGTATAATGTAACCGGCGAATTATTGTTTTGGTCAATTGTAATTTTGTAATAGAACTAGGCATATGTAAACAATACGGAAATTGAGAATACCGAGGAATTTAGATTACATTGTACTAAATAAAACTGAATATGGAACCATAGACATCTATTATTTTTTTCCTTTTCAACCTTGAAATATTCCTTTGTTTTAGCATGTTTTGTTACAAAAAATACAGAACGTATAGTTTGAATAACTAAGAGATGGCGCGATTACAATTTTGCACAAAAGAATTCCTTTTGTGGTATATTTTAAATATTTTACACGCAGTTTCGATTATAGTTCTGTAGACATTTCTTTCTACAGTTGTCTTTCTAAGGGTGCTATTGGGTTTTTCAAACCCAAGCAGTTGTAGATTTTCTTTAGTAATTTTTAGTAACTGGTTTTATACGTCAAATCGGAACACAATAATAAACAAATCATTTAAATTATCATAATAAATAATAGAAAAAAATAAATGTGGCGACTAAAAAAAATAAACTACAAAATAAACAAAAAATACAACTACAAAATAACGAAACAAAAATTAATTTAAATGTTTCTATTAAAACTAATCAATAAATTTTCAATACGTACGTACGAGGGTAATAAAACAAAATTCAGATTATTTTATTTATTCTTAAAATATCAAAATACGATTACTTAAAAAATAAAACAATTAATTAAATAATATTCTAAATTCCAAGTCTAGTTGTGTAAATTTTGTATATCATGTAAAATAATATTTTTATACTGTACATATCATAATTAAAAAAAACTATCTTAAATACTTTTTCAAACTAGCAACACTTACACCAATTTTCTATACGATTACATGAAGCAACTACTGCACATTTTTTCTATGATTCCAAAAGATTTTTTATATTTTTCCTCTACTTTTCAACATAGCAATTTATGTCGCAAAAATTTTATATTTTTAATCGAGTTATTTGTGTCTTTTGTTTAAATATTGTAGAATTGTGATTTTTTTTACGTATTGAAAAACATAACTGTCATTTGTTACTGGCCGCTATTTTTTTGTACCAAAGAGTGCGCTCAAATCATTGATTTTTTTAAATTTAGAGTTGTTACAAGACAAAGTTATCTCTGGCCAGTTTTTTCAAGTCTAATATTTCATACTGATGTAAAAAGTGGATTTATAGTGTGTCTGATATTTAGTATGCGTGGTTGGCAACAAAAAGACCGGCTTCGGCGCCCACACCTGTAACTGATCCAGCCACGTATTTGCCCTGCGACGCCTGTCCGTTAGCCTGGAATTAAACAAAAGAGTTGTTAAAGGAAAACTCATGTTTCATCGTTTTATGTGAAATTTTACACACTTTATTTAGTTATTCTTCTGGTAACTTGATTTTTAACATATAAACATGGACATAAGGTATGGGATAGTAGTAATTATTAATGGTATATGCTTTAAAATTGCCTTTCAATATAACATTCTTAAAAGACTATCAAGAAACTTGCTATAAATGTTCAACAGGCGTTTTAAATTACAGTTTTTATAATGAACGTCTAGTTTATCGAGTCTAGTCCAGTGATTCCCAATGGTTACCCAACGTGGTCGAAAACAAAATTGGGGGTCCATAAAATCATAATCTATTTTCGAAACACAAACTCACTGTTTGATATGCTCCTGTAAACATGAGCCGCCAATATGTAATGTAACCACCTACTTTTGGGGTGCAAGAGGAAAAAATTTGGGGAATCTCCAGCCCTTTCTTAAACACGGGGTTTCTTGAACAGTTCTCTTGCATAGAATATGTTAGGTTACTTTAACTAACCTTATCAGCAGAAGTATTGCAGTAAATATCTCAGCACTCGGGGAATATAAGCATTACTACTACATACATTAAATAAGGCACATATTTTAAAATTTACGTAAAAACTACTAATTTATGTATCACGGCAAGAAAGGGAAGGGATTATAAAGAAGAGTGGATAGTTGGGATTGTCTTTCATTAATTTATCATGTTCAAAAATGTTATGTGCCTTCTAATAATTTACTCAAAGTACACATCAAGTAAGATGCTATAAAATTTTATCAGGCGTTTTGTATTTCATAGTAACTTCAAAAATTAAAGTGTTTCTAAAGTACAAATAGGAAAAATCGTTACAAAATGTAGCAAAACATGTGCTATTCAAACTACTGTTAATCAAACAAATGCAAGGTTAACACAACACAAATGAAAATGCATTTTTTCAACAACTTTTATTTAAAAAAAACAAGGGTTAGTACTCATTAGTAACAAATACAATATTGAATACACTCATTGACTTTTAGATCAGTCTTAAAACAAATGAAACATTACTTTAATTACCACTAGTTTCCACTGAGAAAACGTTACAAAGATATATCGTCATCTCTTTCGTTCCCTTTGAGAGAAAAAGAGACAACAAGATATATTTGTACACATTTATCAGTGGTAACCCAGTTTTAACCCTTAAAGTCTTAGTCTATACTGAAATATTGATTTCATAATTAAATAAAAAATCATGCATTTAAGGGTTAAGTATATTTTACGTCAGATAATTGACTGTGTCAGACAATGAGTAATACTCGTTAGTTAAATACAACAGTTCTATGGGTTTATATGCATTCTGACAACTTAAATATATTCCAATTTCACATACAATAAATTGTTAAAATCAATTTTTTATTGAACATCACGGAATACTTTGAAATCGTCAGAATATATAACATGAAACTAACTACAGGAAAATGACTATATTCGATTGTACACTTACCTTGGAAATAAACAATATTATGTTTGTCAATGAATAAAAATAGTAACTAAACAAAGAAATGTAATTTAACTTTATATATTAATTCATAATCGTTATTTTTTAGTTCCTCCATAGTTCATCATGTTTAATAAGGTAATATTTGAAGAAAAATTTTATTAATTCAGATTTTTTGCATCGATTTCCCATATAATATATTGAATACATGAACAAAAATGGAAAGTTCTTTCAAGCAATAAGTTTTCATGCAACAGAACAAAATGCTAAACATAAAAAATATGCATTTAAAAAACAATTTTTAAATAGTTGCCGTTTTCATTGTGATTAAAATGTGCTCAAAATTGGGCGGCCATTTTGTTTTAATACGCGTGCGATTTGACGAAATTAGATTTGGAAGCTGCGAGGGAGGGTATGGATCCCGCGACGTACTTCGCGCTGGCCGCCAGCCCGTTCGCCTGGTTGTGATCCAAAACCATTGAATTGGCATACAGAAGAAATTCTTTGTTTTAAAATAGCCTTATTATTACGTTAAAGTTATAATCGTATCTTTAAGGTGTGATATTTTAAGTTACTTATAGATTCAACCGTTTTAAAAACAATTATATATGTTTTCACGCCGATAGATGGCGCTTTTCTAAAATTATAAATAACTTAATGTTGAAATTACTTTGTTTAAGACATCACGCCTTTGAAAAATGATATATTAGTGACAGACATAACAACACACAAAGCTATCTAAATCTACAATACAAAAGCACAAACACAGTAATAACTAAACAAGTACATGCGAAATAAACTTGTTACATAAAACATTACCTGAAAATCACAATAGATGGCGTTGCACGATGATTAACTCATTTGAAAACTTACCATTATTGATTCGTCAATTAAGTAACACAGAAAAATTTAAGAAGTAATTGTTTCGATTACTCGTGTAATATAATCTGACCAGGAATTTAAAAATCCTCTGCATTTTGCGACAAATTATACCAATTTCTTACCCAGCTCCAGAAAGTGATGTAATATTATAAGATTGAAGAATTCCTAAGCAAGGTTTTTATATTTGCGGTTAATTAGATTTCTTTTACCCTGTGCGTGAACTTCACGACTCCTTACCCTGTAGAGTATCTTACCTTGGCCCTCTTGAGCAGCTCCTGCTGTCCGACGGGCACGTTCTCCGGCTTGCCGCCCCACGCGCGCAGCACAGACGCCTGCAGCGCGCGCCCGTAGCTGAACGTCAGCGCCCACGGCTTCTTCATGTCCACGGAGTTGATGGCGTTCAGGTTCACTGACGCCTCCTCCTCGGATTGCCCGCCAGACAGGAATGTGATGCCTGCAATCGGAATCAGGACGAGCATTAAGACACGTCATGGTGTTATCTGCCTGAGGGCGCTTCAATATGGCAAGCTGCAATATGGCAGCGGCTTTTATACATACTCACAAAGTATTTTTTTTAATTGACCGACTTCCCAAAAGAAGGAGGTACTCAAATCGTCTGTATGTTTTTTTTATGTATTTCTAACGATTGTTTAATTGGCTTAATACATTCTTATTTGAAAAGTGTTCTTAGGTAATAAATATAGGAAAAAGTACTAGGATTTCATAACTACATGTGACTTGAAAGTACTTTCCAAAGCGTAAATATGCCAATGGAATTAAAGTTTCTCATATCATAAGGTGGCAATAGAGCAAGCGGGCACTTTGTGTGTTACTAATGTGGTGCTGAAGACCTTTTCGTGACTTCCTTAGTAACTTATATACTCTGAGTGTGTTTACCGGGCACAGCAGCGGGCACTGTACGCAGTAGAGCGGTGACGGTGGCGCGGCCGATGTCCATGGGGGTGTAGGTCTTCTTGCAGGACTGGCCTGCGGTCACCTGCGACACCATACGTATTGTAATAAACAAATAATATTGGATAATGTTAGCTGATGAATCCCTTAGTGGCCACTAATTGCGGCTGGGAGAATGCTAAACATTTTTAGCAACATATTCTCTTTTATGTTTTATTAGATGGTGACACAAAATCAAGGGAACTGGTTTCGCTAAAATAGCGAAGGTAACGTAATATTAAGATTGTCGCAAGAAAATTGTCAAAATTTTAATTTTCAAAGTACTTGAGTTTCAAATCGCCTAAGACTTGAACATCCGACAAGTGTATTATCAGCACTATAAGTGCTAAATGTAATTGACAGATAGTATTACTGATAAAAACCTTTACATTTTACCGCAGGTACATATAAATAATATTTTGTACAAGTTCCTTATTACCTGTAGCCGACTTAACTTCTTTTAAAAATGAGGTGTCAATTGATTTGTATTATCCCCATAGCGGAATAGGAAATATGACAATTTATTTTTATTTTTGGTGTTTCCCAATGAGCAAATGGGTAAATACATCTAATGGGTCGATTAGCCCAACGGAAAACAAACGCCCTTTTTATAACATTGTTCTTTTTAGATATATTTTTTTTCATATCTTTGCTGTGGCATGTACCAGGAGTACATGACTCACCATGTTAGGCTTGAGCAGCGTGCCCTCTAGGTAGACGTGGTGGTCGCTGAGCGCCTTGTACACGGCCGCCAACACGATCTCTGTCACCTTCTGGGCGCGGTCCAAGTCGTGTTCACCTAAAAAATTACTTTTTAAGCATACGTCGTTCTCTGATTTTCCTCATCCTTATCTTCTATCTTTTTCACGTGACCTTTTCTTTCAATATTTTTTTTCAGATTACAGCGGTTAAAGTTATTAATGATTTGATCATTTTTACTAGGGAATTATAAATAGTAGTAGAGGCCATTATTATTATGGTTAATCTTGTCACTAAATAACTCAATGAATGGAAAATATGACTTGGTTTGACATTTACCTACCAGGGCCACATAACTTTAACACATACTAATCACAGTTCTTGGTAGTATTAGTTAACTCACCATCAGGCAACACCTCAGGCTCCACAATGGGCACGATGCGCTGGCTCTGGCAGATGGAAGCGTAACGCGCGAGTACATTAGCGTTCTCCATGATTGCCTGGTAGGAGGGCGTGTTGCGGGCGATCTTCAGCACGCAACGCCACTTGGCGAAGTGACAACCATCCTTCTTGTATTGAGCGCAACGCTGCGCCAGGTCATCAAGACCTATGATAGCAAAAAATATGTAAATTAATAGAGGTCATTGTTTGGTCTTCCAATGCAAACATAATTGACTATAGAAAAAATTCCATTTGCTATATCGTGCAAGTCAATTTGGATCCAATTTATCCATAGGGGCTCGGCGTATCAACAAATTGATAACGGTGTCAAAGTCGAGTCAGGCAAAGTGACCTCGACTTTATCATTGTCTATTTTGTAAGAGTGTTGCATTAATTGTATAATATTTATTTGCTGGTGTCGTTCGATATGTTATATAAATAAATCTGTAACCTCTGAAGTGCTGACCGTTAAAATTAAAGATTGCTAAAATATAAAAAAAACTAAAGACAAAGTAACGCAATACGGAGCTAATTTTCATACTGAACTTTGTTAACATTGCTCTTTTATTATTACAGTCAAACCTAAACATCAATCTCGAACTATTTGTATGTAACAAATGCAGTTAAATCCCTCTAATAAGTTTTGTAATCTTTTTCAATCAAAATAACTAAATATTGAAATCAATTAGGATCAATTACGGATTTACGATGCCTATATCCAGCAGTGGGCAAATAAAGGCTGCTGCTGCTGACAATGATGATGATGATGATGACTGTGGTGGTGACAATAATGATGATAGATCCACGACATTACAATTGTCACATACCTTGCGTGGTGCATTCGTCTTCAGATCCGAACAGCGGGACCACACCCTTGTCAACCTTGATGCCGGGGATGATGCCGCGCTTCTCCAGCAACGACACCAGCGGGGTGCCGTCATCAGCCTTCTGGTACAGTGTCTCGTGGAACAGGATCACGCCAGAGATGTTCTCAGACACGGCCTATAAGAACGGCAGGTTTTACTGATAGTTTGAGGTCTGTACGAGTTCCTATAGGACTCAGGTTCCAAAATTATGGGATAACACAGAACTCGTAGTTTACTCAAGTAAAGTGATAAATAAATGGCTGAATGCCAATGACTAAAAAGATAGCATCTTTAGTTTTCTGGATGTCTTTTGAAGGTCTTTTTACTTACCGGGTCAGTGCTGAAGAGCATCTGCCTGTACTTGCGGCGGTTCTCCTCGGTGTTCTCAACTCCGATGTCTTGGAGACGCTTGCCCATAGTACCTGATAATAAAACAACCGTTAATGTCTTGAGTTCGAAAGGTTTCCCCCAATATTACTACCATTGAGAAAAAATTGTATAGTACAAAAAATTATACTTTAATTAGGAGCCTATATCGTTTAGAAAAACCTTAAAAACTTATATAATGTGATTATGAAAGGACTGAAATCTGTAGGAAATATGTCTTCAACTACAGAATATTTGCTTACCGGTAGATTCATCAGCAGCCAGGATTCCCTTGCCAGGAGCGACGATCGCCTGAGCAATCTTCTTCAGCTCCTCCTGCACCTCGGGGGTCGGGTATTGGAAGTAGGTAGACATGGTGCCTGCAACAATAACGTACAATGAAAGAAACGTAATAAAAAATGAGTAGACGCATCGGGAACAAGAGTACACCTCTTTCTGACGTGCCAACTCAAGTTTATACAATTTGAATCTATACAGTTAAGGGATAACAAATGTACAATAACTTTAAAATTATTGTTTATTTTACGCACTAAGAAAAAACTAGTTTAGGCTCATTTCTAGGATCTTAAAATAGATAAATACAAACCTAGCTGTGACCGTCGATATCAAACGTAAAATGAATACTGGCTATCAAGAAATCACTTCACTTAAAATAAAAATAAAAATCATGATGAAATAGTAAGGTCATCCTTATCTTCCGAGGCTCGACATAAACGAGTTTCCACTTTTAAAAGACCAGTACAAAAACATATCACTGTCTCAGGTTTGTCAAGAAGACTGAGAGAGACGACAATGTTTTAGTACGAATGTCAGAAAGCCGCGATTATTTATAGATATTGTACGTTATCATTTAAACATTAAATAACAAGTTATGTTAATTTGTTTGATTTTTACATCACCGAGGGTGTGTCCTTTTAACGGAGGTGTGTCTAAATACTGATAAAATATACCGGTTTCGGAATTTACGTCAGCAAAACGAAATGTCAAACGTCACTTTGGACGATATTGCATCATTTTGGTTGATTATTTTGATAGTGAAGATATCGAGAGACATTGGTTACAGAAAGGTGTAGACAGGAAAAATATAGGTGTGTTTTAAAGGCATTTTCACTGGCCATAAACGTTTAAAGATGGTCAAAATGGCCAGCTGTTAACGGAGATTTAAAGGCACCCGTAGACAATATAAGCTTAGTACTGATAAGGTTGATGAGGGAGAAATGACCGAATTAATCTGGCGGCTTTTCTTCTCGTATGGGATAATAGAAGATGCATTGAAAATTTTAGGTCAGAATAACTGATTTTAAATTCAATTACAATACGTAGACCAAGACACTAACTCACAAATAGCTATTATAATAAAAATGCTACCTTTGGTTCCAAATCCTGCCTTCCATCCCGACTCGGGAGGGCCCTTTTTACCCTTTTTTTTCGGTGGCATTTTTTTTATATTTTATGTAAAACACTTATAAATTTAACTATTTACAAACACTCGACATTATAAAACTTAAATATAAAATCTTACCATATGACTGACGCGCGTCAAACTCGATTTATTTCAAAAAAAGTTTAAAATTAGAAAACCAAAAAAATCATAGTAATCTATGGACACGATGACGTGAATAGATAGATAGATTGTTTGAAAATGTCAGGTTTTGCTTTGTTCAGAGTTTAACACGCCTTTTGATGTTTATTACAGTAAAATCTATCAGTATTACTAGTTCTCTAACTCTTCCCTACGACCAACCACAACCATCAGCATTACGACCAACCACAACCATTCGCCAAAATGGCGAAAATCAAATAGAACAAATTTTATAGTTTATAGCATGTCCATTTATAGAGGTCAGAGGCGACGTGCAAACTTGCACGTTGACTCAAAATGACGATCTGACTAAGTTTTCTTTTTATATCATGAATACGAACGTTTGTTTGTCAATAATACTATCTTCATACTAATACCAATATTATAAATGCTTAGATGTTTAGATGGATATAAATAGAAATAGAATAGAAATAATTTTATTGAAAAACAAGATATTAACAATTACAACAACAGTTATACCAACTAAAAGATGAAGGATGGATGTTTGTTAGAGTTTGTAGCTTACACTGCTAAACGGATCTCGATGAAATTTGGTATACATGTAGAGGACAGTCTGGAAGAATACATAGGCTATTAACTATTGTTTTTTTATTAATTCCACGCGGACGGAGTGAGCGAAAGCAAGTATTTTAATAAAACTTTAAAATCACCTAAAGTCGTAACAACCAATGCCGCGATCTATAGCTAGTTAAGCTGTATTAGTACAACAAAGCTTCAAATAACTTGAAATCTACTCTAAGCTTGAAATGTAATGTTTGGATTTGGAGCTTATTTAAAGTTACGCGATAATTAAAATTAGAGGCAATAAGGCTCTCGTAATATATTTATCTCTCGAGTTATTTTCTTTAATTTACTCTAATTAGACTCGAAAAGTTAAAAAAAACCCTAAGCAGGTAATACGTGCAGTGAATTTGGTTTGTTTGAAAAATTTGTTTTTTTCATGAAATTTATTTTAATGTTGGAAAACCTAAGTTAGTAACTAAGTTGTACTTCGAACCCCGTGCTAAAAAGTGAAAGGAATATTGAATTAATCCTTACATTTGAATGCAAATTTTGTTTGAACATTGAACCAAGTCGAGTTTACATCTTGTCACGTATGTTAGTTGATGACGCATTTAAATTATTTCAGGTAATTGAGAAGTAGGTATGTTTCATGTACTGTTAATCTATAGTTATTTATAAATTTTCGTACTATCTATTTTAGAATTAAGATCTTGACTTTATTTTGAGGTTAAGGTGACCTTGAAAGGTCAAGGAAAGTAAGACGTAGCGTTCATTTCACTCTCATGAAGATGTAAATGTATCTTGAAATTACTTTACAATTTTGGAGCACGACCAAGAAATCATGGTAACCTACTTGGTATAAGTAACACTTTTTTTATTTTTAATTAATGCGTCGTAACATTTTTAAAATTATTTTTGTATTTTCATATTATATTTCGTTCAAAATGTACTACTTAAAAAGCATTAATATTTGTAAACGTTCTTATTGGATTTCAAGGCAACAAAATTCCAGTTCAATACAGGTTATGCTAGTAATTGTGATGTAATTTCCATAAAATTTCGCAAAGCAAAACTAAATCAATACTATTTAGGGAGTAAAATGGTGAATTAATATGACCTCAACGTATAAATAAGAACGCAAACATATTACATAAAAAGTCATGCAAGCTAACCTAAGCAATGTAAATTCTTTCTCAGCATAGATAAATGAAAATAGCACTGTTTATGAGTTAGAAAATATTGTAACTTACTTTATAATTCTAGATTTTCAGCAGGTTTTATAACAGACACTCCCGAACTACTCTTCGACACAACTGTCAAATTCTTGAGCCAAGCTTAGGACACGAACAAAGGTCATTTGAAGGACTAAGATAAGTTATGTGTGCTGTTTTACCGACATAGTACGGTACTTACAGCGCCATCTATAGTTAAATATCTGAACTTACCACCTTGACACTTTTGTGTCCGAGCGTTTGGTTCTTTTGTACACTAGATGGCACTAAAACAAAAACATTATGATTCAATTTTTAGTACATCCAAAAGATGTATTTAAAGTAAAGTACATTTTTTTAAAAGCTGAGAAAGCGTTACAAGATTCATTAAAAACATACGAAATTAAATAAAAAAAAATTGTACTGTTTGTACGAATACGTAAATAATCGTCAGGATAGTACAAAGTCAGAAGTTATAGCTATAGTTAGAAATTATTATATATATAATAATTCACTTTTATGAACAGACTAAGGCCACAATAAGATATGTAACACGGTATTATTATCACTGCCGTCTATAATTTTAAATTGAACGCAATTTGATGGTTTCAATTGTCTAAACTACTACAAGCGTTCTAATTGATTTGTCCTCCTATATTCGGAGGACTAAGTTTTTGAGGAAAAGTAAGCTTTCGGACATCACTATTTTTACTAGATTAATCAAAATTGCTATCTTCTTTGTACAGTTTTATGAACTCTAACCTTTTAACGTAAATACCCTCCTCTTTTCGCCTAAAAAAAAATAGAAATTTACCCTTACCCATTATTATATTAGTTAATTGTAACATCCTGTACATTGTAAAAATAATTATCTTAGTGAATATTTGTTATCAAGTTTGTATTTTATATTAGTCTTATATAATCAGTTACGCGTCTTGTGGATTGCGGTGCGGTCGAATGAACCAGTTGTATATCTGTGCATTCATAAAGTAAAAATCTAGGTAAGTTGGACTTTTTATAACGAAAAGCAAAACTATATTGAGTTATGCCTTTGCATTTTAATGTCATCCAAAACCATCTGTGATATACTTCAATAAACGTAGTTATCTTTACTATATAATTAAAATGTCAAGGGGCTAGATTGATAAAAGATATATAATCTGTAATTTAAAAGCTACAGTATTCTCCGCTGGGCTATTTTTTTTATTGATTTTTTTAGAATGACTACTTATTTCTCATACCCGGATGCAACTCTCCAAGAGGAATTAAAGAAGACAGCGGAGGCTATAGTCGCTCCTGGTAAAGGTATCCTTGCTGTCGACGAGTCTAACGGTAAGTTTTATAATTAACACCTTCTATGCAATTAACATTTTCACATAGTAAACTTTCAGAGTGACGGCCGAATACTGGGACGACAATTAAATATGTAACAGCGCCTTAAATTATAAAGTCACTTAAACTCGAAACTACATACATTTTTTTACGTCTTTCATATTTTAAGCGACGCTCAAAAGCGAAGTGTTTTCTTAGTTAGTTTTTTTTTAGTATTCGGCCGTGTCTTTTAATACATATTTCTTGTAACTATTTTAATTACTATTTCGAGCTTGTTTTCAGAGGGAATCGGCAAACTCTTGGCGTCAGTTGGATTAGAAAATACCGAAAATAACAGAAGAAGGTATAGGCAGCTTTTGTTTACGACCGATGATGTACGTATAAAATTACTTAGTCTAGAGTTTACACTGCGAAAACATGTACAGAAACACATCATCTTTTCTAATAAGTATATATAAAGGAAAGAGATGAGAGATGTAATATGCATTTTTCATCTATTTCTATATTATATCTATTTTTGGATACTAAGGATATCACACAAAAGAAAAATTATGAACACACTTTTCATAATAAACAATTTAATAACATACTAAAGACTAGGAACCCATAAGTTCGGATGTTCATTTCCCCGTTCGGAATTAATTTGGACCCTCGTTAACCGAAGATGTACTGCCATATATTGGGGTCAAAAAATAAGTCTCCTTAATATTACGTGGGTTCAAGATGATAAACGATAAATACATAACGTAACTTATAATAAGAGACTGAAAGAATGATAAGAAACTTTGTTGAAAAACTTGTACACATTCTCTTTAAAAATGGAGCATAAGATAGTATTCTTTTGGTTATTTCAGGTGTTATCAGAGAATGTATCTGCAGTAATTTTATTCGATGAAACAGTTTACCAGAAAAGCGATGATGGAACACTTTTTATTGATTTATTGAAACAAAAGAATATCATACCTGGAATTAAAGTAGACAGGGATGTAGTGCCGCTCTATTTGTCTGAAGATGAAGTAACAACTCAAGGTAAGATTACAGCACTAAGGCATATATCCAATTTCAGACGTAAAATACGTTTTGACCAGACGTTTATTAATTATCACAGGTGAGTAGAAAATAATATAGATAAAAGATCTGTAATTTAAATTATCATTTTGATGACATAATTTAAAAATCAACGTTACAAAAGTACATAATAGCACTTTTAAAAATAATTAGTTTCAGAGATAGTTATGAATATTTGCTATTAAATTTCTACAGGCGTTTTAACATTTTATTCTAAGCATACTAGTAACATTTTTGTCGTATAACTTTTCCAGGTCTGGATGATCTTGCTCAGCGTTGTGCTGTATACAAAAAGCAGGGATGTCGCTTCGCTAAATGGCGCTGTCCACTAAAGATTGGTGAACATACACCTTCAGTGCAGGCCATACAAGACACCGCGCAGGTTCTCGCTCGGTACGCCTCCATCTGTCAGAGTCAAGGCCTTGTTCCTATTGTCGAACCTGATGTCCTATTAGATGGTAAGTGGAAAAATGTAATGCTGTCTAATTTATTTGATTCCTTATTTGTTTTGCTTCTTATATTTATAAAGGTACATCACAATTCCTTGGCTATCATATCGGTGGAATGCATTAAAAGAACCTTGTAAAACGTTAACTTTTTTTTTCTTAAATCTTAGAGTTCTTCCTTCTTTCTCTCTTCTTTTCTTATCTCTCTGCTATATTATTGGATATTCAGTTTACTAGCTGTGTCAATGTTTTCTAAATTACTGTGGCACACTTCTTCTATCTGATTTACCAAAGATTTTTTAGAATCGCGATCTTGCTTTTTGTTTTTAAAGGTGACCATGATATTGTGAGAACTCAGAAGGTAACGGAAGTGGTACTGGCTGCAGTATACAAGGCATTAAACGATCACCACGTCTTCTTAGAGGGAACATTGCTCAAACCTAACATGGTAATTAAATTTATTAATTGTTACTATCTTAAAGTAAGTCGTCGTAGTCAGCACATGGCTCTATCAAGAGATTTAAACCCTTGACGTGTAGATTTCAGTATGTTCTTGTCAAACTGTCAACAATTGCATCATAAATGTTCTTTACACTAAGTAGTTTTTTTTTTATACTTTATAAAAATAAATAAAAAAAAATCGTAATGTAATATTTTAGACAATGATTTTTCTTACATTATTGTCATTTTACGCAAATACTAGACATTAAAACATTAAATAATATATGTTCGTGAATTATTTTTTTAAATTTAAACGTTACAGGTAACTCCCGGACAAGCCTGCCCTAAACGGAACACTCCAGAAGAGATAGCAACAGCTACTGTCACAGCTTTACTTAGAGGAGTACCGGCTGCTGTACCAGGTAAGAACTAAGGGCTACTGCACACGGACGGAATTGTTGCTACTTAAAATAGCCGTCGACTACCATTAGGATACCGACCCTTTAAGCCCCCTACATATGCTTTTTTCTAACTAGCTGTTGCTCGCGACTTCGTCCCTGTGAAATTAGAAAATAATAAAGAATATGGCCTATATTACTCACTGATAACGTATCTCTAAAATGTTGAAAGAATTTTGAAATCTTCCCAGTAGTTTTTGTGTTATTTGAATACATACAAAAATACAAATGATTCCTCTGTATATTATAGATAGAAGGAGAGCATATAGATTGAACTATCGAACTGTTTAGTTAAATTGTGCGTTTGTAGACAAAACTTTAACTGGACAGTTCAACTGGCAGTTCAAATTTCGTACACACGCACAGCATCAATTGAACAGTTCGACTTTCCAGTTCGTGTGTAGCAGTCTTTACCGTTGTTAGTACACTGGTCGAGTAATTATTTAACTTCTGTGAGTGCAAGTCATTATTAATATTTGATTTAATTTATGTCTGCAGTACGCTGCACTTTTAATAATCAAACAGCGTTGGAGTATATTATGAATAAAAAACGACGCTTTTAGTGAATTGCAGTCACTGTAGCACATTATAAATAAAATATTAAATCACTATATTTTTGTTTATGTATAACTTGATGTTGCTTGCGACTTCCTCCCAGTGAAATAAGTAATGTAGCCTAAGTTACTCACTGATAACTTAGTCTTTAAATGATGAAAGATCTTTTTAAATCGGCTCAGTAGTTTGAGTTATTTCAATACATACAAAAATAGAAATTTTTCCTCTTTACAACCAGTATAGAATTCTTCGCTTTTGGAGCTACAAAATACTTAGTACTAAATAGCCTATGAGATCCTCCAGACTATTATCTACATCTGTAAGTAAACTCGTATCCTTAACTATCACTAATTATGTCTATAATTTCTAGGCATAGCGTTCCTCTCCGGTGGACAATCTGAAGACGAAGCAACTGTCAACTTGAACGCCATCAACAACGTCCAGCTGAAGAAGCCCTGGGCGCTGACATTTAGCTATGGACGAGCGCTGCAGGCGTCTGTCTGGAAGACCTGGGCGGGGGATGACGAGAATGTTAAGAAAGCACAAATGGAACTACTTAAGAGAGCTAAGGTATGATTTATACAAGAAAGAAAGCAAATCTAAATTTAGTTACAGTAAACTAGCTTTCGCCCGCAACTCCGTCCGCGTGGAATTCAATAAAAAAATGATCAGCCTATGTGTTCTACCACACTATCTTCTACATCTATACCAAATTTCATAGAAATCTGTTCAGCCGTTTAGGCTACAAACTGTAACAAACATCCATCCATCAAAACTTTTGCATTGAATTATAATATTAGTATGATAGTATGAATGCTTGATTGTGTTTTTTATACCACAGAAGATAGACGTGACGTGGAATTCAATCCGCATTTCTTCTGTTTAATGTTCCATTTTCAAAATGAAAAGGTTGAAGGTAGAATAGCGTCACTGGTAAAAACGTATATGTTAATTTTTAATTACTTTGTCCAGGCTAACGGATTGGCGTCTCTCGGCAAATATCAAGCTGGTGTCACAACTGCTGCTGCTGACAGCTCTAATTACAACAAGAATCATAAATACTAAATAAACCATCATATAACAAAGAGTAATTCATTTATACAACCGTTGAGTGGATATTGGATTTGAAATTGAAATATATTTCTATTAGTTAATTAAAAATCAGTAAGTTTGTTCTTTACGCCTTCTTACATTGATTTATTAGATTGTAATGAATTCAATTTTAAAATATACTAGCTGTTGCTCGCGACTTCATGCGCGGAATTTTTTTTTTATAATTATAGCCTATGTTAGGCAGTGATGACGTAGCTATTTATTGTCGAATGATTTAAATCGACTATGTACTTTTTGAGTTATTCCAATGTGTAATATATTTATTAAATAAATAATTTCTCTTTACAACATTAGTATAGGTAAGTGCTAATAAATCTGAATGCAATCGAAGAAATAAGAATATTCCAGTAATAGATGACTAAATTCTAAAATTGTAAGAAAAAAATGTGTCATTCGTTTGTTACGAGCAATTCTTAGACTTAGGGATTTTTATTATGTTTAACAGTTACACTATATTGGAAAATAATGCACATATCGTTTTTCCGTTGAGTGTGACAGGGATAGCAATATGTTTCAACCTTACCAACAAATCAATCAGCAAACATCATTATATTGAATGATTCACACAAAAGGTCTATGAACTTAAAGTATTCAATATTTGTGTAAATTTCCTTGATACAAGAGAATCTTAATGACAAATGGTTAACTGATAACACTAATATTAATAACTAGCTTTTGCCCGCGACTTCGCCCGCGGAAAATTAAAAAATAATAAAAAGTATATCCTATATGTTCCTCACTGATAACTTAGCTTTTTAATGGTAAAACAATTTTTGTAATCGGCCCATTGGTTATTGAGTTATTTCAATACATACAAAAATCCAAAAATACAAATTCCTCTCTATAATATTAGTATAGATTTATATATAGAGTTTATATGAAAATGGGAAATGTAATAATCTATACAAATATTATAAAGAGGAAAGATTTGTATTTTTGTATGTATTGAAATAACTCAAAAACTACTAGGCCGATTTGAAAAATACTTTCACCATTAGAAAGGTAATTTATCTGTGAGTAACAGGCTATACTTTTTTATTATTTTTAAATTTCACGCTGGCGAAGTCGCGAGCAACAGCTAGTCTTTTATCCGCGAGATTGCCGGCAAATTTAGTAAGGAATAAACACGGGGATTTAAAAAACAACGATTTCACTTCTGTTCATCATATAGCTATGTTATTATTAGGTATTTAAAGATCTAGGTATAAATCAAAAATCTATACAATTTAAAACTAAGCGTAACTTAAGTTAAATTCAGGATTAATTAACTACACTTATTTCCCGATTGCATTTTGCTCGGCCGAATAGCCAGTATGCAGAGCCCGACTTATACTTTATACCTTGTTAAACTGACTAGTTGGTGAAATATGACCGCACTTTGGCTTCATGCCCTACTTTTAATAGGCGAACTGAATATTAACCGCTTGAATTTGTCAAAAATTTAAAGACCACAGACTTATTATACTCGATTTCTATGGTCTACGGCGACTTTCATACTCGTAGCAAGCCTGTTTGAAGATGGTTATTATGACAGGGAATTTTTAATATGATTTGAACGAATGAATGAATGAGACCAGTGGAGATTGGAATGAATATAAAATGAACATTTCACACGTGTAAAATCCCATGAGTTTTTAATATAAGTATGTAAATAATTCAGAATTTTGACCACTATTTTTAAAGTACTTTGTACTGCAGAGAAAATACCATTTTTATAAAGAAGTCAAAATGTTAAATAAAATTATTTTTAAAGCGAGTTTCTTTACATTTCAAATCACCTCTTTTTAAACTTTTTAAATGAAATCTTAATTATTCCTCAGAGGTCGAGTTTAAATTGAGTTAAGATAAACGTGAAACTCAAATAAATAACTTGGAACACCAGATTATTAAAGAATTTATGGAAAAATTTCCTTTGATGATTTTATAGTCAACACTTTTGCATTTTTACTTGTCATACATTTACGTTGCCATCGAGACCCATACTTCTATAAATTAGGCTTCAAAATAATGACCAGTGTAAGTTGTCTTTACACATATCTTCTATATAAAGATAACGGTTTCATGAAAAGTAGATTTTTGTGCGATTGTCGATTGTTTTGGAGCTCATTCAATTGTTTACTTGCAAAAAACTAAAAATCCAGAAGTGTGCGCACCACGCTCTAAGTCTAGTGTTTAAATATTGCCCCAATTACAACAACATACTTATAACGTTTTTCTTTAAATAAAAAAAATAAGTAGTTGCTGTAAAGAGCTTTTACATGTAATGTGTAAGACAGTCAAGAGATGGCAGTACTCGGCTCACGTGCGGCTTACTAGGCATTCTCAAAGCTCGAGTCCGCGCGTGCTTCGCATTGTAAGCTTCAAAGGTATTAACCGTGTGTGGTACAAGTCATAACACGTAAGCGTGGCCAGAGCTATTCGTCCTTCTAAGTATAATTCAAAAGAATTTAAGAAATCTCCAACCGCCGAAAGTTTGACAGATTGCTGGTGATTTTTTTAATTTTATCGTTACATTTTTTGTGCTCTTTTTATAATAAACAATGACATTGTAAGTACTCCAAAAAGAAATGTAGATTAGAATTGAGTATAAATAAAAGTAATTATTCGTTGTGTAGCTGAAACTAAATTACTTCTGAGAAACTAGGGAGCCTAGAAATGGTAACACAGGGGCTGTCAGTTGTTTTTTAAATTAGAGAAAATATTATCAATTTCAACTAATAACTTGCACTGAAAAATAATCCAGACCAATCGCGATCAAGTAAGGGATGAGGGAATCTAACTGAATGATTTTTTTCCTACTTTTATGATAGAAAAATATTTTATAGATGAACAATAGCAATAGTAATAATGGTCACGTTGTCATAGGCAATAATATTTTTAACATTGTTATAGTTTGAGATAAAAGTGTTAAAGCAAAAAATATTAAAAGTAAAGTCTCATCTTGGTGCTATTTATTCAAATCCAGATTTTGAATCTAATATTTGACCCTCCAATAGTAACATCATGCAACAAGTTCTTGTATAAGACAGGAAACCTTAGCTGAAAAAACTTACATGAAAGTCCCGTAAGATGTTATGGATCATTTAATCTAGCCCTTTTGAAGTCGCTCGTCATCACTCCTACTCCTACTCCCGTAGGGTCGGCGCACCGGGTTTTAGTTCTCCAAATAACTCAATCATCCGTCATCACAGTCATCACTTCCCTTAATCAAGTCACCATTAACACAATCCATCTCTTTCTTAGTCCACTACCGGTGTACCCTTCCACACTCATAATTTTTGAAGTCGCTAATATTGTTAATTATGGATGTAATCAGCAGCGTAGAATATTAACTGTCTTGTAAGCTAGAATTATTTCCTTATGTTATTGCTATAAGTTATGAAAAGTGCAGTTTGCGTCATTTGACTGAAAAAGTATTAACTGGGATTACAAAACACGTGCGTCCAACATCCGTCAGAGGACAATACAAAACAAGTCTGGATTACGGAAACGATTATTTGTAACATGTTTTGACGGAATACAACAAATATAATACAACTATAAAGAGGAAATATTTGTTTGTTTGGATTGAATAGTACCCGAAAGTACTGAAGCGATTTGAAAACCTTTCACTGTTGGGAGTTACACTATCGTCGTTTTTTTTCGTGCGAATGAAGTCGCTAGCAAAAGCTAATAATCAATGAAGATTTAAGGAACACAATGTTATAAGGAAAACACTATTGGTGTTCTAGAAGAAAAAATATTAGTTAATCAGATTAGACTAACGTAGAGAAGTGCATCGCACATATTGGGAAAGAAAGGTGGCATTAGAAAGGATTGACGACTGAAATAAAAGAAAATAGAGTAGACAGAAAATTTTGAATGAGTGAAATAAGAACAGGCATTTCAAATGAAGCAGTGGTAAATCTCAATAATAGATGTAAATGTTTCAGTTTGAATTTCTAAACCAGTTCCAAAATACAAATACATCGGTATTAGCACATACGATGTAAAGATTTAGAACAAAATTGCCCTATATTTTGTTACTAACTTCCTTGTATTCTGTTAAATTTATATGAATGAAATGAATTATGAATCATTGGAGGGAAGTTACGTCTGTTTTTATCAATTACGTAAGAGGTAAGTATGTAATAACAAATGTTTTACCTCATTCTTAGTATAAATTCCTTGCTCTATATCTTATTGACCATAACATCGCCTGTTACGAAGTAATACTGTTGTATATTATACCATCATTAAAATGGTTTCAGCTAAAAGTTGTGTAGTAATTTTTGTACTTTTAATAATCGGTTTTGAATGTGCTGTAATCAAAATCGATAATACATCGGACGACGTAGATGTAGAAATTATTATCAAACCAAAAAGCAAAATTGTGAAAGAAATTAACGTAACACCAAAAAACATGTCAAAGGAAGAGAAATTAAATGAAAACCGCGGTAAAGATATTGCAAGTTTTATCAATAACTTTGTAAATGATTTACCTGATAATTTATTCGAAGATGAAAGCAATAAAGATGGTGGGAATACTCGCAATGGAGAACGAAACGAGGGTATTCCTAGCTTCAAGTCAAGAAGTGGAATAGTCTCCGGAATTTGCCCTTACGGGTATAAAAGGATCAGCACATTCTGCTGGCCATTAAATCAATAAAAAGACATAAAACATAAAGAAGAATTGAGTACTTACTTCTTTTGTAAAGTCGGTCAATAAGAAAAAAAAGACGATTGCATTTTGGATATCTTTAATTAGTTGTCCTACGGTTATATAATAGAAGATTTGTAATATTGTTGAATATGAGTATTTTATTATGTGGTTTTCAATCAATAAAGTTTTCGTAAATTATTCTGTTATCCTCTTGTTTTATTCTATTTTTATGTATTAACCTTTATTACCCTAAAGTTTTGAATCGGTTTTGGCGTTGGCAGTCTATTCAAATTAATGTCTACAGTCTTTTGAGTTGCTTCGTATATAAGATATTGGGCTCACTTATCAACTATCTTTTGGGCGTTTGTTCATTTTAAATTAAATATAGTTAAATGTAAATTTACATAGATGGGTGTTTGTTAGAGATTGTGGCTTAAACGGCTGAACGGTTGTCGATAAAAAATTGCAGATGTGAAGGATAATCTAGAGGAACACATAGGGTACATACTTTTGTATTTGTTTTTATTCCACGCCGATGGAGTCGCGGGCGAAAGCTCACTTCAAATTTAACGTAACAAAATTCCTATTAATTAATTAACCAAATTTTCAGTCATGTTTTATTTATTACGGTAAAACATTGTAATAAATATTTAAGGCGTTTTAATTAAAACGTCAACCTTGGCGCTACGGGATCTTAATTTCCGATGAGTAATGGCAGAGTCTGCGACGGAAATTAGACCGCGTCCTGGTTTGTTCTTGTACTTATCTCGCTTATTGATCTACATAAACGCTATTAATTGCTAAGCATTAATTACTGTGAGTTCTTATCGCGGGAATACTTGTACAAAAACATTGTTGTTTATCTCTTTGGAATCTTTGTTACACCTTTCATATTCTTGCTATCAATGGCATTTCTTTTTTATAGAAGGAGGCAAAAGAGCAGTAGATCGCCTAATACCAATTGATTTGATGTCTGTCAACACCAGAAAAACCGCAGTATTGCCGACCGGATGTTTTTTCTTCGGAATTAAAAAAAAAAACAAAAGTGTATCCTCTACGTCTATACCAAATTTCATTGATTTCCGTTTAGCCGTTAAGGCTACAAACTCTAACAAACATCCATCCATCTAAACTTTCGCATTTATAAAAACATATCAGAAGTAAAGGTTGTTTTTAATAACCAGAACTGCTAAGTTTTAAGCAACACAGAAAGTTTTATTCAGTTTCATTTCTTTCAGCTACCGTGAATGATAGTGTACAATTTTCCGTTAATAAGAGAACAGTAGAGGGTGCTCTGACCGGATACCAATTACACTAATGATGTACTCTACCTGAGTGCAGGTGCAGAGCTTTAGTTTGGTCTTGCATTCAAAAGTTACACTATGAATATAGATGTTCAGTTTCACGCACCATTGATATAGAAATATTTTGTATAAAACTCATTACGTATATTACGCACTCATTTAAAGTGATTTTAAAACAATACTTAGCCATTTGTTTTAAAAGACAAAAGTCGTTTCGGCAGTGTAGATGATTTATCACAGAAATTTATTTAAAAAAAAAAAACAAATAGGAGTTTAAAGACGGCAATACACATACCAGTAAAAACAGGTGGCTGACTTACAAATGTCCCAGCTTGTATATTTCACTTGTGTATTCCAGCCTTAAATAATTAAATGTATTTGTAAACATGATGATTTCACGTTTATGTAGGATGTCTTCAGGATGATTAATTGAGTTGAAACATTATTATGAAATAAGGACATTTGATCATATGAATGAATTAGTAATGTTTTCATAATGTTCATTGTTTGGTGACGTTTTGGAAAAACCAACGGAATCAAAGTCCGTATGACTTTTTAATGGAAACTTTAACTATTACCCAACTGAAGATCTTTTTCGTGGGGATGAACAAATATGGACATAAACAGTATCAAATCATCCGATCTATTTTTTGCTTTTAAATTTGCGTAAAGGCAATATTAGTAAAGCCAGCTGTAGATGATGTCCTGACAGTTGTAACTGTAGTGTTTATTCTAGAATTTAATGGAATGGGCTTAGCTCTGATTATAAACCATCGAAATACTTTGTCGTAATAAGACATTCCGTATCAAATAGCGGAATGTCGTCCAAAAAGGATTAGCGATACACTCCACATTTTTAGATTTAAAGTAAAAATCCCTGTTGTGGATAAATTTGGACAATAAAAAAATGAATACTGTGTCAGTTATTATAAGATACCTATCTTTTTAGCTTTCTGTTGATTGTAAAAAAAAAATAAACTGTCTATGAAAAGTATTAAAAACGTATTTTTATAATCGTAAATTTTTAAATCACAGTAGTGACACTTATGTTGTTGCCTTTGTTTAACTCAAGGAGATTGATAAGGAGGACAATATAAATACAAGTGTGTCTGCAGAAGCCTGAATACTGTATTCTAAGTAACCGATAAACCGGAAAAACATTACACATTACCACAAAATCGTTTATATAAAACCGAAGTAACAAAGGCACGTTCTTAGTCGAAAGGTGCATCGTACCGGTTCACTCGTTTTATAAAAAAATTGAAATATTCAATTACAAATATGGCGTCAATAAATAAAACATATTTAAATCTAGTATTATTTTTAGTGTTATTAGTGGAGATTAAATGTTATGTTATTAAAATAAACGATGAAAAAGACACAAGTGACATTAAAATCAAGATATTTAAAAAAAAAGATAATGACGACTGTAAATCAAATGTAACTAATACAGAAGCAAGAAAAGAAACGCAAGACAATGATGTAACAGAGAAATCTTTCAATGGATTAGATAAAAGAAAATTGGCTCAAATAATAGAAATGTTTTTAAATTATTTGAAGAAAACATCAAATGATTTGCCGGATAATTTTTTTGAAGGAGAAGACACGACAATGCTACCTAAAGAAAGTGCTGTGATACCAAGTTTTAACAACCGTGTTGGGGTCGTTGTTGGCTCATGCCCTTTAGGTTATGTAAGAACAGGGCCATTTTGTATAAAAGCGGAAAGAAATGTATGAAACATCAGGACTTCGTTCTCTATTCTTCTGCGATTCTCTTCTATATTATTTGATTACAAATAAAGCGATTTTGAGAAGACTGTATTGGTTTCTTTTTATTTAAAATTTTGTGTATTATTAAATAATGTTTTGTCAGAATGGAATGGTAATGATGTTTTTGTCAGAATTTGTACAATGTTTAGTCAGTTCTGTCCGTTGTAATTTTTTTACAATTTATCTAAATGATATAATTTAGTTATTGATATCTTTAAATAAAAACTGATAAAATATCATCCGACATTTCTTTGGAAGAGGCTTTTAAAATGTCTAATAAATATAATGGAATGATGATAAAGGTTAATGGACCGTCGAAAAAGGCCCGAAATTAATATAAATTTTGATATTTTATTTCATATTTAAAATAATATTTATAACCAAAGTTTTTTGTATAATATCACTTGCGAAAAATAATCTGACAAAACAATTATCATGTTAATTTATATTTTTATTTGTATGTACAAAAAATAAATTTATCTAAGTATTAATAAAGGTTACAAGCAATATATTATTTAGCCTTATAAATAAATTCTTTCCCCTTTTCTATCAAATAACATACAAAGCCGACGAAAGCGACTTTTTCTATTTCCAACGGCAAATATGACATTGAAGGACATATTGAGAACGGCGACGACGAAAACCTTCGATCATTCTATTTATGTCGAGACTAGCATTTTCCCCCTACTTCGACCGGGTGGAATTAAAAAAAAAGTGCCTACTCAATTAACATTGCAATTTATTAAATGAATTAAATTGCTAATATTGTAAAACAGGTGTTTTGTTTGCAAAATAATGCTGTAAAGTAATGTAAAGGAGTAAAATTTCTTAGCATTAATTTGCTTTTACGATTTTTAACCCGTAATCTACGTTGAGATATATTATATTACAAAAATGTGAATGTCAGCCTTTTGATACGAAATATTGTTCACTGCCTTTTTAATATTCATCGAAAAAATAAGACAACCCCTTTGAAATATGTTCTTCGTTGTACAACATTTATCTCGACACGCTTCTTATCCGACGAATATCTAATAACAGTAAATATTTGACAGAATAATTCATGAGAGACTTCTATTTTGTGAACATCTAAAAGATGTTGAAATTTTTCTCGTACATGTTTACGAATCTAAAAACTATATTGTAATGGTAGATATTATGTTATTAAAGTTTAAAAAAATATAAAATAAGTCGAAATTAAAATGTCATCAAGGTAAATTCAATGTAGCAAATCAGGGTCATCGCCGTGAAATTACTTAGTGACAAAACATGGTAATTTCTATACTACTGCAAAAGTTTATAAAGCGAAAGGATAATTTGAAAGAGTAGATTGAAATAAAAGTATTTGTTAGCCAACAATTTGTATATTTAAAAATTTACAAAACAATAAATAAATAAGTCTTTTTTCTCTATTACAGTTAAGTTACATTTTACTTATCGGCTGGTAAACAAAGAGGTCCTCTTCTTATAAACCCTGATGGACAAGAACCGACTTGGATGCCACTGCGAGAATTAAGCTTAGGGACGAATTCTGAAGTCAACTGAGGTGTTTCCTTGTCAATCAAGTTGTCCGAAATAGAATCCCTTGGCTCATCTTCTGATTCTTTGAAATTATCTGGCAATTCTTTCTTAGATAATTCAAAGTTGTTATCACCAGATAATGCATTTGTGTCTTCCTCATGACCTTCATTTTTGTCTGATTTTTTATGCATTTCTTTTTTCATTTCTTCTATAATTTCTCTCAGTTTCGCCTCTGCTTTTTCCTTATCCGTTTCACCAAGGACTTCTTTTAATTTAGTGTCTTCATCTTTTTTAATTTTCGAATGTTCTCTTTTCTTATTTTTCAATATAATCTTGACAACGATATCGTTATTTGAATCCTCATCGTCTATGATTTTTATCACACGACATTCCAAACTCACGAGTAGCACAAAACATAAAGTGAATTTGAGATAAATTCCCGCCATTTTAAGGACACGAAATATGTTTAGAAAAACAATATTATTTTCGTGTCTACACTGTCCTGGTACTCGGACTGGTTTGAGGCTCTGAGGATTGTTACAACGTGTTTTATACCGGCGTTAGCGTGCCTTACAATTTTTACTAACAGTTTCCCTATGACGTAAGCTAAGGGGATTGTAACAGGCTCGACTGATTCAGACTGACGCATCATTGCTTAACATTACTTTAAAAAACATTGAAAAATCTATCAAAAACGATCAAATCATCTGTTAAACATGTACGATGTTCCTTAATTTAACGAACAGTTACGACTTTCACTTTAACGGGACTATTTATAAGTTTAAAACCTTCAAGATATATTTTAACGCATTTCTGTAATTTCTAACCGAATATTTTAGATTGGAATTTAATAATATTCAAAAATAAAGAACCTTATATTGTAAATATGTACAAAAGAAAGTAATTAATAAAAATGAAAACAGGTGAAATTTTAATGTGACATAATTTAGGTATTATTAAAAAAAACTATGGTTTGTTGACAAAACAAAAGGCGGCGTCTAGCGTGGTCGGAGCCGCGTGTCGGGGATTTCCAACAACTTATGCAGTAACCTGTCTCGGGCAATACCCATAATAAAGAGCAGGTTTGATCTCTTCATAATTTCTGTATTCCCAGTATAGAAGAGCAAATGAACTTACAAAGTGAAATTCGAACAATCTATATCTATACTATTATATTACATACTATTATAATAAAACGTAAACACACACTTTTTTGTTGCCTAAGATATCGGCAATTACAGAATATTTTTGAATAATACCTTTTTTAATAAAAAGCCCTACACTTACGTCACGCTTTAGGTTATATATTTTTACATTAAACTTTGGGGGTAAATATTTTGGTAAATAAACCTAATGTGGGAAAGAGACCATAAGATTGCTAAGGTTTCTCATGTCATGTCAATGACATTTGTCGAATTATAATTTGACAGATGTAAACAATAAAAAAAATCATAATTTCATGCGGATGAAGCCGCACGGGAGTAGCTAGTATAATATAAGTACACTTCATTCGAAGACATAATTATTATACATGTAATAGTCGCATAATTACAAATTGATTAAAAAGTAAATCTTTAAAATGCTCACCCTAAACATACAGGGGAAGGCAGAAAGGAAGAGAATTTTTTATGCAGTGTCTATACAAAATGATAAAAAAAATGTAACTTTTAGAAAATTAATTATTGCCGTGGTCGTTTCTAGACAAAATAGAGATTGTTTATCCATTGTCTTATGTTTCATGATGTTAATAGACATTAAGTTAACTGCTTACAAAACTTAGAAAAAATGTCACCATGTTAACATACATAGAGATATAAATATGACACATAATACTAACGTAACAATCTCCAGACAGCATTCTTGTATTGGCATTTAAACCTCTTATTAAAATAATTATACTTGTACTTTTATTGGCTTAAGTTTTACAAAAATAAACCGGTAATCATAAACACTGGGTTTTTTACTTCCTTCATTTCTGTTTTTTATTAAGAAGTTAGAATGGATGTTTATTATTTTTATATAGATGTTACAACATTAGGCCAATTGAATTTGCTGTCTGCAAAACCCCGACAATCATCATAATTTGAGTATGTTCTAAGAATTGATTATGTCAGTATAGTAAACTGCCTATCTTTAAAACCATTTGATAACTTTATTTAGATCTTTTCGTTGTTTATTTAAGCTTTATTCAACTGACAACCATATTCTAATTATCATATTAATATTATAAATGCGAAAGTTTAGATGGATGGATGTATTTTTGTTAGAGTTAGTAGCCTAAACGGCTTAACGGATTTCGATGAAATTTGGTGTAGATGTGGAGTATAGTGTGGAAGAATACATAGGCTACTCACTTTTGTTTTTTTTCGTAAGCTTGTTTTCAATAAAAATAAGAAATTTTGTCACCCATGAATAACTGGTGAATAATGTTTGTCATTGTCTATGTATGGATTTATTTTGAAACGTTTCAGTGTTCAAATTGATAGATGACAAATACATATGTATTGTGGATCATTTCCCAGCACATTCAACTGTTTAGTTGCACAACTAAAAATCGAGTAGTATGTGCACCTCCATATAACCTCATAGGAATCAAAGCGCGACTAAACACTTGTGCGATAGTTTAGACAGAGATGTGCGGGCACTCATAATAAATCTGTAATAGTTAGAGATCCATCAGTAATGAGGACCTATCTTCATTAGATTTCCTGATAAATCCACATTATATGAAATTTCGTAAGTTTTTAAACATGTTACCGGGTTGTCTTATCCTTAGTCTTAGCTTGGCAAGGCTACGTTTATTACAACCTTATAATATACTAGCTTCCGCCCGAGACTCCGTCCGCGTAGAATTAAAAAAGACAAAAGTGAGTAACCTTTGTGTTCTTCTAGACTATCTTCTACATCTATTCCAAATTTTATCGAAATCCGTTCAGCCGTTTAGGCTACAAGCTCTAATAAACATGCATATATCCACCTAAACTTTTGCATTTATAGTAAGAAGTGAGATTTCATCCATATAAATGTTCTATTCTGAACCTTATTTTAAACAGCCCTATAGATTAATACGATGTTGCTTGTCGAATGCTTCTTGGGAGCCAATTTTACTAATTGTTTAAAATAAGGCATTTCAATGGGTCGTCTATTTTGAAATACATAGTCATGAAGTTGTTATGATTCCCTCTTGTTGTAATATTTCAAAGTTAATTTAACAAGATTATTTAAGTGTATGAATGTAAAATCTCTTAAACATTCTATTCTTGACAAAAATGGGATTACGAGGGTCTTGTTTGCACTAAATTCCTATCAATAGCTACCATTAGGGGCTTTTGGAACTTTTACTTACAGTAAAACATTGATGGTTATATAACAAACATTGTGAAGTATCAATAATTTTGTTTTCAAAAATTACGATCGAGAAGGAGAATTAAAATTAAATCTTGTGTTCATGTTTTACATAATTTTTTTTTATAAAAATAAAATTGAATTTGTGTTAATTCGTGGGAATGTGATATATTATAAAACCACATTTATAAAATATTAGTAATTGTTATGAGTAACTAAATAAACTCGTAAATTGATTGAATTATTAACTTATAAGGTAATATACGATTATGGACAAATGTATAGAAATTGATGAAACAAGAAAACCAACCTTTTTATATCAATTACTATATTACTTAAGATTAGGTAGTAAATAAATAAGTACATGTATCACAAAAAGTCTTAATTTTATTAACTTGCGACTTGAAAATAGACTCGTCGGAGTCAAAGGTCCAGTTTATGGTTATTGTGCTTGCATTTGGTAACTTCAAGTGGGAGATTTTAATGTCATACAAAGAGGTCCATATCTGGTAAGGCCACTTGGACACAAACCCACTGTGATACCAATAGAACGATTGACTCGATTTATATTTGAATCATCGCGAGTTATTTCAAATCCTGATCTATCGTTGTCTTCTAACAAATCCAACAAATCATTTGTAATTATTGCTAATTCTTCCGTTTCAAATTCGTTAAAATCAGATTCATTTGGTAATACAATATCCTTGTCACTGATTTCTATTTTCAATCTTAGATTGTCAGTTGTATCACTTTCTTGTTTAAGCTTCGCTAATTCTGATCTTATATAATTTTCATCTATATTTTTAGCTACACGACACTCCACACTAACTAATAATACTAAACATATTGTAACTCTTAACACCATTTCTTCGTATAAATATTACTGTTTCATTAAGAAATTCTTGTGACTGCAACACGTACAATGTTGAACTGAAGTTAAGCTGTCACTGCATGCTATATATCCATATTATTATCAGTCTGTTTTACTTATGTTAGTGAAATCCCTAATGATAGTATACAATCAGGATTGATGTCAGACGCCACCAGTGACGTCTTTTGACGAAGCTATTTTTAAGAAGATCGGAAAGAAATTGTCGAATCGATGTTACTAAATTATTAGAAGTAGTCTAAACAAATCTTAGTGAAAGTAAGAAAGCTAGCAATGATCTTATAAAGCAAATATTTAGAACAGATAAGGATAAAAAAGTGCAGACAAAACTTTGTTTTTTTATTGAAAATATTACATAAAAACAATTTAAAAACATGCACAAATATGGCCCCGCAAAAATCATATAATTGGTTTGTCCGCGGGTGCGCTGGTTACAATTTCCAATATAACATATGTAGGGTGTCGTAGTGGAGTGTAGGATGTTTTATGGCATTTTTTTTGTGTAAAATTATATAAAATACATACATACATAATATACTGTAACATAATATTCAAGGGCTATTATCAAAAAGATGGCTTTCCAAACGTTTAATAAATAGTTTAAATTTAGAATTTAGATTTGCTATTTCTGGTGGTAAGTTATTGAGCATGTATGGTAAACGTTTTCCAATTGTTCTGTCGCCGTAATAATTATTAATTCTGGGTACTATGTATTTGCCATGAGAGGCTGCCCTAGTGCTGTGTTGGTGTTATAATCTAGCTAAATCTCAAGTTAGGTTAGTTGAAATTTCTCCGTGTATCCTTGCTACAAATCCTGCTTGTAGACGACTCGATTTAAACAGTTGGGGGGTAGTAATAATTCATACTATTATAATGTCGAGTTGTACAGTGGTAGAAGTAGGCATAGAAAGAGATAAATAGATTGCGCAAGACATTGACATAATCAAGAAGGGAATGGCTATGATGAAAAATGATTAAATAACTTGAAGGACAAAAACCTGGCATAGATGCTACAGGAGTAAGATAAGGGCGGGAAGATGACGATGGTAATGTCTTTAGAATGGCGTAAATGTTATGACGTACGAATACAGGAGTAATGGAAAACCTATCATGTTATTTATAAGTTTTATCTGTTGCTATACGAATGTGAAATACGTTTACTAAATATGTACACACAAATATCTGTTTGTCTGTTTTTTTGGTTACATTTGAACCGATAATGGCATAGATTCAGAGAATGTCAATATTGTTGAAAAAGGTAAGAAAAGAAAGG